GTCCTTACAAAGATTGAAACATTTTGACTATCAGTAAGAATAGATACATTGAAGATATGAAGACCAAAATGTTGTAGCAGTTTTCTTTCGATTTATAGAAATGGGTTGACCTCTTTGTCGCAACTTGGTCTTGTTGTCAGGGCGACTATGTAGAACACACGATAGTAGTTGTCTTGATTCCCAGCATCAAACAGTAGACTTGGTATCTTCTCAAACGTTTGGCCGGCAGCATAGTCGGCATCATCAGTGAGTTTTGCCATTCGCCGCACCAAGCTACGAACTCGTCAAAGCGACAAGTGAAGTCAATCCCTCGACAAACGTTCTGCCGAAAACGGTTGCACTATCACTCCTCTTTCTATCTCTTTGACGAGTTCGTAGCTTGGCGTGGCGAATGGCAAAACTGACTGATGATGCCGGCGAAACGTTTGAGAAGGTACCAAGTCCACTGTCTGATGCTGGAAATCATGACAACTACTGGGGCAGACGACTTCGGACTATGTGCGTTCTACTAAGTCGCCCTGACAACAAGACCAAGTTGCGATAACGAGGTCAACCCATTTCTAAAAATGGATACATTTTTATTAACTCACATTAGGTGACTATCCGCTTTCACCTTAGATGATGGAGGATGTCTCGAAGGTCTGCGTCGACTAGAATGTCGCATTAAAGCTAAACGACTTTGGGACAAATGGAATCTGCCTTCTTGTTCTTCTTCCGGTAGGACCAATCAATCTTCATCACACATTTTCGTATGAAATGAAAGCCTTTGCATCAACTCGTAACATGTCAATCTCCTGTCATCTACACTCTCCCTACACTCTAGCCTGGCAATTGGGAGTTTACAAATCAATCACTCTTGTACGTAGAAGAATCCTTGTTCAAGGAGATTTCCTTTCTCTTATGCAAGTTTTTCATACTCAAATCTAGAGCACATGGTTGAACTTTGTTCCAGCAGGTTGTTTCACCTTGTTTTCGCAACATGGTCATATTGGTAGGAAGTTAAGAGGGACGCACCTAGTCCAGGGTCCATTGTCTGCATAATCATTTCCAAAGTTGAACCATGGACGTGTTACATTCTCGAACGTTTTGCCGGCATCGTCAGTCAGTATCGCCATCCTAAGCACCATACAGCAACTCGTCGAAGAGACAAGTCTGTCTCTCACTCACTGACGATGCCGACTACGATGCCGGCGAAACGTTTTGGAATGTACCACGTCCACAGTCCTACTCTGGAAATGATGATGCGTTCCAATAAGTCTTTCTACCAATATGACCATGTTGGGAAAACAAGGTCAAACAACCTCTACACAACGAAAGGAGACTGCGACCATACAAAAGGCCATACCATCTTGGTCTTCATACCTTTGTTAGAGCAGGCTATCATTATTCGAAGTCGAGGTCAACTCGACACTGGTACAGCGCAACAGCACAATCAGATGCCTTAGAGCTGTGAAGCGAAAGAGTGCTAAATACCTTAAACATTGAATCATAGTGGTCTGACCTCATTTTCGCAACTTGGTCGCGTTGTCAGGTCACTTCGTTTTACGCAACTTTTCCAACGTCCTCTGCCATAGTAGTTATTATAATTCCTAGAATTGGATCGTGGACTTGGTACATTTTTCGATGTTTCGCCGGCATTATAGTGAGCATCGTCAGTGAGTCTTGCCATTCTCAACACTAAGCTCGTCACAAATAAGTGAAGAAACTTACATTTGAATAGAAGTTGTTTGACCTTGTTTTCGCAACATGTTCATATTAGAAGGAAGACTTAGAGGAACGCACCTAG